AATGTCCTAACTTTTATATTTTCATCTATTTTATCTCCATTGCTTGTTTTTGCATTTTTCTATGCACTTCATAATAATTGTCTCTTTTTTAACTTATTTCATCCATGCTCACACATCAGTGTGTGTATGTGTGTATATATATCTATCATATATATATATATATATATACACACACACATACACCCATATTGTATGTGCCTCAATACAGTGTTGCTTTCTATATCCACACTGTCTATATCTACAAATGTTCTATCCCTAATATTATTCATTATTTGATTATATATATATATATATATAGAGAGAGAGAGAGATACAAATTATATATATATATATATATATATATATATATATATAATTTGTATCTCTCTCTATATATATACACACACATACACAATCATGTTAATTATTTATGTATATATATATATATATATACACACACAATTATGTTTTTATATATATATATATATACGCACACATATTAACATAATTGTATCCCTCACCTCTCTATCTACACACACACACACACACATATATATATATATATATTTCAGTCTAGGATGAGGAGTTATTGTTATTTACATTTAGACTCTTCTTTAATAATAATAATGAAGATAAACATAATGTGAATGTACATAATGTAAGTAATTATACAATTGTTCTATATATATATATATATATATATATATATATATATATATATATATATAAATTTGAATTTTATATATAATTATGTCAAGCATTTATATATGATATTTAATATATTTATATATATATATATATATTTGTGTATTTTCTCTGGATGTTTCAATCCTGTTTTCTTATTTTTATTTATTTGTCTTCATGACTATTCTCTGAAAACCTTAAATATTGTTTGTAGGTAAAAATGAAGTTTACTCAGACATAGGTATATTATGTCATAATATCAGCATCTTTCTGCTGTCTGCCATAGACCGTAAGCCTCTACAGGTATGCTTACATGTGTGGGAAGGATGTCCGCAACATTAGTAGAAATCATACCTACTTGCTTGCTTACAGACCCTTGGACCTATTTGTCTACTGCTGATGCAATATATTATAAATGGCTTTTCAAATAGTTTTCAATTGGTGTGTGACAGTCTTAATCTGAAAATAACAGCCATTTAGCTGGATGGTGGTTTGAGAATAGTTTTTGCTTGGAAATGTTACTAGTTAATGTTAGTAAATATAGGTACTACTGAAATGTCTATCTACATACATGCATATATATTTAACATGCTTTATTTACCAGCTTATAAGACACAGGCTTAAGAAAACAGCTTAATATTTCAGTGATCAGCTTTCTTGCCTATAATATCATTTCATTGGATGCGGGATAATATTTTTTTATTTTATTTTTTTACTTATACACTGACGATGTGTGAGTGTGCATTTTTTGTATACATACATTAAATAATGTTGAAAGGGCACAAAAAGATATTGAAATTGTCAAATTTTTCTATGATAAATAACTTATACAGAAATATATTTTATAAATTTAATGTGTATAAAATAAAGCAATGTGTATTGAACATAAGAATTGCATGTATAAAAACATTATTCAAAACTGAAAGAAAAATGTCAGATTTTTTTTCATATGTGTCAAAGTTAAGTGAATGAAATTGATATCTGAGTCATTAATATGAAGACATTGCAGCTAAAGGCCAAAGTGTGTTACAACTTTTTATATATATATATATATATATATATATATATACACACACACACACACACACACACACATATATATATATATATATACACACTCTCATTTATGCTTGATGCCAAAAATGATGGCAATGTTTAATTAATTTTGTAATTGCATTTCATTAAAAAAATACTTTATCACTCTGCATTTTCTTGATCATGTTTAATGCTTCTTCTTAAATATGTAACTAAACATAAAATATTCTATCACAATTGTATATCAGTGGAAGAATTGAATATATAGAGATGAGCAATTTTCCTGTGTAGTAGACTCTCCTGGTGATGTTGAAAATATTATTTTCCATGAGCCACAATTCATGAGAATGAGACAGTCATGGTTCTCCACAGTTTCCCAGCTTTTGTTGCTCTCACTAATATTTTCTCATTTATAACCCTTTTGGGTTTGTGGTACTTGTTCTAATCATTGTCAATAGATACACACACAAATATATTGCATTTTATATTTATGGAGATGCATATATAGTGAATTTGCAAGCATAGCTTAGATGTGGTACAAGGCCGAAAGCAGGGGGCACCCAGTGAGGATCGAACTCACTAATCAGATGTAATTGTTCTAGTGAGACAAGCTTGCTAACTATTACACTGCTTCAAGGTGCCCCTATGGAGATGTATATATACATACATACATATATATATAATATATATATATATATGTATGTGTGTGTGTGTGTGTGGCGGGTGTATAAATATGTATATATTTTATGTTTGTAGATTTGACACATGTATTGGACTGAACTTTTCATCCCCCTCTTGTTTGTACATGTGTGTGTACATGCATGCATGTGCATTCTTTGAATTTTCACTGTAGTAATGACAGTTCTTAACTCTAATATGGTTATATTAGGTTTTTGGAATCTGAAACTTGATGTTTTTTGTTTAAATCTTCCTCTTCATTTGTCCTTCATTTCAAGTTCATATAGAAAAGATGTATTTTAATTGTTCTTAAATGATTTGTTGAAGTTCTTAAAAAAGGCATTTTAAAACTGTTAAAAAAAAGTTGAAATGATATGAGCACTTTGATTTTTGCTCACAAATGTTGGAATATATGATGTGCTGAAAATTTCTTGTCCAGCCTACTTTCCAAAGTCAGTATTTCTTTCAAATGAATCAAAGAAAAACTGCATTTACAACCAGAGAAAATGATAGAAAGTACATGTTTAACAAGATAGCCAGCAGATACCAGTTCATTTTGATTTCCTTGAACACATTGAAAATTAATAAAACTTTTAGAAAAAATAATGCATTGACTTAACACCTAGGGCTTAAAAGAGCTTTCATAAGTTGTTTCATATGTAAATGGCAAGAGAAATTAATATTTTGACATTGAGTAAAAAAATATAAATTTATATATATATATATATATATATAAAACCTACATATGCAAAATGAGGAAAGTCTATAGGAAATAATTTTGTCCATACTCTTAACTTGTATGTTCCAATATAGACATTAGTTAATATATTGTGCAAACATTATTTACACTTGGCCTATTGTCCTAATCTCTGTTGTGATTCTCACAATGTGCGGAAGATTGTTCTCATTCTACTGTTCATATTTAGGGATATCTCATCTTGTTCTTCTTTAGTCCTGCTCAATTATTGTTCACCCCCATTTCCACTGGAAATGCACTACCCTGTCCAGGGAATTGAACTCACAATTACTATGTCACCAGATTCATGAACCAGCACTTAAAGTTCACTAAAATATTGTCCCATAGATTAAATAAAGGGTTCACTTTGAAATTTCCTGAATGTTAAACAGATTGACAAACACCTGAAAAGGATCAAAGGGTACAGCAGCTGAAATGTTGGGATAATAACAAGGATGAGGTATGATAACTTCTCATCCCATACATTCAAACAAAAATTGTATAGTCATGTGACTAGTCATGCAGAAGACAGACATAAACATCAAAGCTATCCACATTGTAAGTATTTCTTACCTCTGATAGGTGCTGAAATGTTCATGGCCTAACAAAGATCTCCTTAAAAGAAACAATCTGATGTTTGGTCAGATTTTAGGAAGTTGATTGCTCTATGAAGATTCCTGCACCCCTTCTTAAATGCATAACTAAAGTAGAAATTAAATATTGCCACTGTTATTGATGATTTTCCATATTGTAACTTTTAATTGACTATTTCATTAATGACGAATTATGATATACAGAAATTGAAAACTTTATGTAATAGAATATGGATTTGCCATATGAGATATAGTAAAGATAGTTCTGGCTTGTTTTGAACTTTTCGAGAGTGACTGAGAGGCAAGTTGCCTGGAGTGTTTGAAGTTTTGAGTTCTGATTGAATTAAAAGAAGGTAAGTCAGGATGGGTGGATAAAAGAAAAATATTACATGTGAGAAAATGGAAAAGAAATTTTCTTTTTTAACAGATGGGTTGGAAGAATTAAAGAAAATCATAGTCAGCATGTACTTGTGATTTGCAATTTTTAGAATAAGACATGACACATTCCTTTGTGTGAATATCAGTGCAGTTTATATGATTTTCTTTGAAGATAATATGTTTATAAGGCATGCATTTGTGTATAGGATTAGGGCAAATCTTGAAGTGAAGTTTGGTTTAAGGTAAGTCAGATTGGTGGAACTGCTTGTCAAGTTCAAACTTACTTCCACTGATTTGAATGATTATTGTACATTACCTAAAGCATTCTTTGATAATAGTGTATGTATTCATATTTAAGTAATTTTGTATGTGATAAGTATTTTCTGTTTTTGTTTTTCTTCATTATTTTTATATATTTATGTGAATATATATATATATATATATATATATATATATATATGTGTGTGTGTGAGTGTATCTTGTTGCAGGAAAGGAAAGTATCATTTTATACCTCCTGGTACATTTGTCTCGCAAACAATATTTGGCAAACTCCCATGAGTCCAGGTAAAAAAAAAAAGGATACAAAATATGGATTTCAAACAAACGGCAATTAATAGATGTATTAACAAGATATGTTACAGAATGATATAGAAAGAAATGAAGTTGAAGTTATGAACAGTTCAGTATAATCTTCAGTTTATGTCTCTGAAGTACCGACATGCCTCATATCTCTTGGGGTAAAAGTAAACCTGTGTTGCTACTCCAAATGTCAAAGGGAAAAAAAGGAAGAGAATTTCAAATATTGCACTGCCTGTGATTATCATCAGAGGTTGATAGTCGAACACTCTATGTTGTGGCCATGTAGTTAGAATATACATTCACTGACCATGAAACTTGGGTTTGAATCTTCTCATGATCAATTTGCCAGGTGGGTAACTTTTTCTTGTCACCAGCTTGGTGGGGCAATCACACTGTGTAGCACCATTGGAAAGTACTTGAAAACCGTGCCACAGGTCATCTTTGTGAATGAAATTAGATTAGATGAAATTGTTCATCAATGTTTTATACTAGCACAAAGTCACAAGTCATCATGACTGAGGGTTCGAGTGTACTGGTCTCACTAAACTGTTGATCACACCAGATTATGTGCTCTCTTCCAAAAACTGTAACTAAGGTTTGCTCAGTATAATTGCAATATAAACCACAGGTTGGCCCTGTGAGTGTTGAGAAAAGACACAAATGTACTTGAGTGGGTTTCTGCAACAGGAATTAGCTAGCTACCCTATCAGACGAATGTATTCAGAAACAAGTAGTCTGTCATTATATCTATGTTGTATGTCTCTACTTTTTTCTATTGAAACTTTATTTTTCTTATGGTATTGTTTGGTTCCTATTGTTTACCCCTTTAAAATTTAGTATATTTTTCTGATATATGTGCATATATACATATCGTATGTCCGTGCATATATGAGTCGATGTCAAACTGTTCTTAGCCTAACTAAGAAGCTCTCCCACAGAAATGGATCTGATGTTTGTTTTTATTTTGTGAAATGGAGCAGGCTGAGAACTTTTCAGAATCCTCCTTGTGTGTTCATCTGCACACGCATGATCCAGAAAATATCCAGCTGTTTTGAATCTCTCTCTCAAAAAAGTAAAGATCGTTATATGGCATTGATGTGACTTGGCAGCCAATCAGAGGGGACCTTACTGCACAATTGTGAATTGGCACCCTCCCAGTAAATAAACCAGTTGGCATCGAGATGTCATTTAGGGAGCTTGTGTATTATGCGACTATTGCATTCGCAATGACATTTTAGCAAAATCATCCCACTCAGGTATGTCTGTTTGTTTCTCATCTACAGTCCAGGTTTGACTCTCTGCAGTTTCTTGTTTTTCACAAAGCTAAAATCATTATTGAAAGATGAAATCAAGGATTAAGAAAAATGTAATGAGGAAGCTCATTGTGATCCTGAAAGGATTTTGGAGAAAAGGGAGAGCTCAGTGTGTGAGATTCAAAGTTTAGTACTTTGAACGGACTTAGGTGACATTGGCTTAAGTAGGCTATGTTTTATTGGTGCATAGCAAAATGTTTAGAGTGTTAACATTCTGACCTGAGCTTCATATGTCACCATGGTTGATTAGTCAAGAAATTGACTTCTGCATTATAACTTTCTGGGGAGATTATTCCAATATGTAGCATTGTTGGGAAGTACCTGAAAACCACAATATGGGCTGACCTGAAGCCTTGTAAGTGAAATTGGGTAGACAAAACTGTTTGGAAGTTATCGATGATTGTGCTAGTGAGCAGATAGAAGTTCTTCAACTTAGGTTAGCAATCTGTGTAGTGGTGGTGACTCAATAAAAAGCACTCATTACCCAGCACCTGGGCCACTCATGGGGATGTTTCAGACTGTAAAATCTTACAATAACTGATACAATAATTCTTAAGTTACATCAGTTGTACAATCTTCTGCAGGTGGAGCATCTTTCTTAAGTTTATTTTTCATTAATATTAAACAGCTGGATCCTTTCTGGAGTGACTTTGAATATATTAAAATATATTAAGAAACACTATATATTTCAATTTTATCACCTAACCTATAGTCTTAACTTAAAAGTTTATCAATAAATATGTTGATTCTTAAGATATGTTAATATTATTCAAATGTATCATTCAGATAATCACACATGATTTTATATATATATATATATATATATATATATATATATATATATATATAATAAAATGTAGAACTTTTGCATTCTTTTCTTTCATGGCTGCTTGTAATTGTTCATGTGTTTATCTTAGATACTATTGACTAATGCAGTTTCATAGGAAACACCATTCTTGTGACCTAATGCAGATTCCACTTATAAATAACTGTCTCTTTTATCTCCTATTTGTATTTACAGGGTTGCTTCACCATGTGGCAATGGTTAACAAGCTTGTCAAGCAGATCATTGCCTCTGTATAATGAGTACCCCACCTATATGATCTTGTGCCAAACTAAATGAAGCTACTTATATAGTATCTTTTGAATCACTTTTTATAGTTTTCATTGCCTGTGAGATGATCTCAAGCACCAATCTGTATAAAGTAACCAAAGAAAGAAAAAAAATTGACAAAGAGGAGGAGGATGAAGACGGATTGAAGACTGCTTTTATGTTGTCAAGACAGTCTGAATGTGTTTTTCTTTCTTTCTTTTTTCTGTGTACCAAAATAAAATATTCACCTGGAAAAAAAGAAAGGAAAAAAGAAATGTTTGAGAAGTTGTTAACAGGTCATTAGTCTTTGAGATTCTATAACTTGTAGATATTTAATGTGTTCACATTTGATTATTTCTTAAAGAGGTTAGGTGTGATACTATTGGCTGCTAAGCTAAGATTATATTGATAAATATACTTAGAAATATCTGAATTGTGGTGATTGTATGTGTATCTATATCTATATACATGGATGCATATATGTGTCATATATACACACACGCACACACACACACGTTTCATTAAAAATGAGTGACAAGGTACTGCAGTTAAGTTTTATTTATGTAATTTTTCTTGTGTTCTTTTAATTTTCTTCGTTTCTAGACATAAATTATGTAGAAATTATTCAAATGCTCTGTATGTCCAAACACTTTCAGCTATACTTTTAGTCATTATAATAGAAGCATTATTAATAGAAAAGAAAAAACCAACATTCAATAAAATCAACTATGAACACAGCCACAATGTGCTGACCATGTTTGGAAAATAAAACATTCATACAAATCTAGATACATGCATAAAACAATCTGTACATTCAGTTACAAGTAAAAATAAAATCATCCTTAATCAGCGAACCTCAACCACTCATGTTTTTTGGAAATATAAAATTTAACTTTTTTTAGCAAAAGTGGGGAGGGCCTGTATATCTTGAAGCATAGCATTTGAAACCTGGCTTTTTTCTCATCTAAGTTTGAACATCAACCACTAATGTTATTTGAAAATATGAAAGTTAGCTATTTTAGGTGTGAGACAGGCACCTATAAGAGATAAGTTCACAAAATGTAAAAATGATGTATTAGAGGAAAAAATAGGAAAAAATATAGCAAGATATTAACTACTATGTGCAATCATTATAATATAAAAGATATATTAAGGGACGTAAAAAAGAAAGGTGGAATTGGGAGATGGTGTGAATGACCTTTCTTAAGGGAAGAGAAATATAGAGATGCAGGAGAGATATGCAAATGGAACAGAAGTGATAAAAGAAAAAAATGATAGGCAGAGACTAAAAGAGAATAAGATGATTGAAAAGAAAAAATGATGCAATAAAGAAAGATATATAAATGGAATAGTAAGAGAAGGGGGTTGAAAGGAGAGAAATACAAGTAAGTTTGCAAAAATTAAGGTGATACACAGAGAGAAAGAGAGAGAAATGTGTAGGGAGGTAAAATGCATGTTAGGTAGGAATAATGAATTGGAAAAGAGAAAAAGATAAATAGAACAGAAGTACAATTAAACATCAAAGAAGTCATTCTAATAATAAATAAAGTGAAGAGAGGGATAAGTTCCAGGATTGTTACACAGGAAAAGAAACAACTGGATTTTAACTGCAGATTTGATAATTATTATTTACTGTAATTTTTGCTCTGCTGTGAAATGTTGTACAATTACAATGAGAAATGTGGAAGAGGTTATAAAAACAAGGCAACAATAAAAAAGTAGTGATGATACTTGACAATTATAAATATTCAATAATAGTATAAAAATACTCAACATAATTCCTCAAGTACTCAAAGACCCGACCCAGTAACCAATATCTACTAGAGCTTGGCTGTTTTCTTCAGCCACCTCCTTACTCTCACTTTTTTTTTTTGTTATTTCTTAATAGTTTGTGAAGTGGAGAGAAAAATGTTGGAGGAGAACAAGACAAGCATGTCTGTCTGTCAATATTAATCTTGCCTTCTCCTCCCCTTTATTTTTCTCTCTTATTTTAGTTCCTCTACAATACTTTAAGACTATTTCTGAAACTTTGTTTTTTCTCATGGTATTGTTTGGTTCCTATTGTCTATCCCTTTCTCATAAATTTTATTTCTTTCTCTGTTCAGTACTCTCTTTTTCATTTCTCTGGCCTCATTTGCCTAATTTTGTCCTTCAAAAAAAAAAAAAAGCAAGTCTTTTTTCTCCCATTTCAAATCTCTATGACTTTGCTTTCTCTGGGTAATTTTAGTTTCCTCTTGTGGTTTTTATGCCTCCCTGTTCGTATTAGAACCTGTGCTTTTTATCTATTTACATTTCTGTGTATCTGTTGGTGTTCCTCTCTCTGTTTATATATCTCTATAGGCAATTCTTTTACTTCATCCCTCTATTCTCATTTCTCTCTCCATGTTTTTTGTACTATTTCTCTCTCCCCACTTCTTTCTTAGTGTTTCATTCTATCTCATTAATCTCCATTGGTGCCTCTCCCTGTTCATGTCTCCATTGGTGCCTCTCCCTGTTCATGTCTCCACTGGTGCCTCCCACACCCTGTCTGTATCTCTCACTCTTTCTCTGTCTCTGTTTGTGTCTCTCTCACTCTGTGCCTCTCTTGCTCTGTCCATGTCTCTGTCTCCATTGGTGTCTCCCATTTCCTGCCCTTGTCTCTTTTTGTGCCTCTCCCACCCTGTCCATGTCTCCATTTGTGCCTCTTCCACCCTGTCCATGTCTCCATTTGTGCCTCTCCCATCCTGTCCATGTCTCCATTTGTGCCTCTCCCATCCTGTCCATGTCTCTGTTGGCACCTCTCCTGCCCTGTCCGTGTCGCCGTTGGCTCCTGTTCCACCCTGTCTGTGTCTCCATTGATGTCACTCCTGCTCTGTTTGTGTTTCCTCATTTCTTGTCCGTGTTGGTAAGTGAGTTATTTTTTTCCCACTCCTTACTCTCTATATCTCTATCTCTTTTTTGAGTCTTTCTATCTTTTTCTTTCCTTCCTTTCTTCAATTTCTCTTTTCTCATTGTATCTGGCTTTTTTCTATCTTAGCAGCTTAACTAATTTTCTCTGTTCTTTCTCTTCATCCTTTCCCTTATTCCCCTCTGTTTTTTTAATGTTCCAATTCTTGTAACTCTTACCAATTTTTTTACCTTTTTTTCTCACAGACAGTAATTATTTGCCTGACCCTCTTTAATTACTTTTCACTGCTACATTTTTCATTTGCTTTTTCTCTCCTTTGCCTTTTATGATGATGCTTATCTTTCTTTGTATTTCTCTCTTATTTCTCTTTCCATCTTTATCAGAACCTGCATTTTGTTTTCTCCATTTTGGTCTCTATTTCATGTCCTTGTCACTTTTCTTTTTCTCTGTCTCTATCTGTATCGATATTTCTCTTGTTTCCCACCCAGTGTTCATCTCTTAGTATCTCTCTGTCTTTACTCGTATTCTTCTCTCACTTCTTTCTCAAGCCAACTTCACAATCCAGTGTGTAAACTCAGTTATCTAGACTCCCGAGGAGAAAAACATCAAGTTCAGATAACGGCGTGTCTCTATAATTGAATGAGAAGAAAGATTAGGGTGAACTGTCTCCCCCTCCCCCCAATCTAACCACCTAACCTCTCTGTTACCACACCGCTCCTGTTTCCCATACCCACCACCCACGACGTCTTACCCAACACTTTAGAAGTGGTCGTAGCAGAGAGGGTGTGGTGGGCTGTAGGTGGGGAGACACTGGTAGGAAAGAGAGCCTGTCTAATTGAATAGAGTGCACTTTATGCAGTGTTGCTCAGTGGCCACAAAGCACTGACTCTGTACGTATCTGTTGGTACACTGGTATGGATGGGTGATGGCAGAGGTAAAGCTGACAGTCGGGTAGGGATTGGGTGCCGGTGTTGGAGGAGGGGGGAAGGTCAGATCACTGCTGAGTCAACACAAGAGACAGGAAGAGGAAAAATAAAAGAAATCAATGATATTTGTTGAAAAATAGTCACCTGCACTGTGTACAAAACAGTGGTGAACACATCGGCTTCTAACGTGTGCATGTGTATATGTCAGTCTGCGTTACCCTACATTCATTTACACTCCACACACACTCATGCCTCTTTATAATTCTCTGAGTATAAAATTTAGAGTATAATGTCTGTATGTATGAATGAATATTTAAATTTATATGCACACAACCTATTTTATGTGTACAAATGTCAGTGTGAAATTTAATTTGTGCGTGCCTCTGTCTCATTCTCTTCATATCTCTCTCTTTCTCATTCTCTTCCTATATATCTCTCTCATTCTCTTACTGTGTATTTCTCTCTCTCTCATTCTCTTCCTGTATCTCTATATCTCATTCTCTTCCAAATCTCTCTCTCTCTCTCTCTGATTCTCTTCCTATCTCTCTTTCTCTCATTCTCTTCTTATTTCTGTCTCTCATTCTCTTCCTATCTCTCACACTATCTTATTTTCCTCCTATATCTCTCTCGCTCTCTCATTCTCTTCCTATCTTTCTCAATCTCTTGATATCTCTATCTCATTCTCTTCTGATCTCTCTCTCTCCCTCATTCCCTTCCTTCCAATCTCTTTCTCATTCTCTATCTCTCTCATTCTCTTCCTATCTCTCTCTCATTCACTTCCTATCTCTCTCTCTCTCATTATCTTCCAACCTGTCTATCTCATTCTCTTCCTATCTCTCTCTCATTCTCTTCCTATATATATATATATATATATATATATATATATCCATCCCATTCTGTTCCTGTATCTCTTTCTCTATCATTTTTCCTGTATCTCTCCCTCTTTATCATTTTCTTTCTTTATCTCTCTCTGTTTCATCCTCTTCCTATCGCTCTTTCTCTCTCTCATTCTCTTCCTACCATTCTCTTTCTCACATTTTCATTATCTTCCTTTCTATCTCACTCTTTTCCTATCTTTTTCTCTATCTCATTTCCTTCTGATCTCTCTCATTCTCTTTCTTCTGAATCATTCTCTCTCATTCTTTTACTTCTGATGTCTGCCTCATTCTCTTCTTTCTGCTCTCTTTCTGTATTTCATTCTCTTCCTTTCTCTCTTTCTCATTCGCTACCTTTCTCTCGCCCTTTCATTCTCTCACTCTCTTTCTCTTCCTATCTTTTTCTCTCTCTTATCTTTCTCTGTTTGTGTGTGTGTGTGTGTGTGTGTATATATATATATATGAGCGAGAGAGAGAGATGAAAAAGGAGAGAAAGAGTCCTTAAAATGGTAAAATAGAACCTCGCTTATTGTGACATATGTATATATAGAGAGAGTCTGAGAGACTATATACATGTGTGTATTGATATTTATGCATGAACATAGAACATGTCATCTCTCTTCAAGATTATTTATGTAAATCTTTGTATTTTATATAGAAAATATATTTACATATTTGTGTAGTGTGAAGATATCAAAATGTAATTGAGTATATATATTTGGAATTATATCTAATGTACATTGATATTTTTATCTCATTCTTATTTTATTATATTTACCCTTATTCTCTCCATTTGTGTATATATGTGCATGCATATGTATGCGTAAACAGCTTGTGTGTTTACATGTCTTGTACGTATCTTGGCAAAGAAATTAACTTTTTCTCTTCCCTCCCATGGCATCAACCTCTTCTGTTTTATTTACTTTTGGGTCTAAACAGATTTCTTGTTTGTTTTTTTTTTTTATGTTTTTTTTTTTTTTTGTTTATTTTCAGTTTCCAGATCTCATATTCTGAACCACATTCCCTTACCCCCACACATCTCTGTTTTGTCCTTTTAAGAAAGAAAGGAAGGAAGGAGATTGTCCATTTAGCTGAGAAGATGAAAGGAAATAGATAAATAAATAAATAAATATAAGCAAAAATCTTAATCAAATAGGTTTGATTAAATCTTCAGACTAAAAGACAAAAAAAAAGTGATGTCAGTTATAAAAAAAACACTCACTGTTCAGTGTAATTTGAAGCTTAAATTTAAATGTCTGCCCTTTGCCCTCTGCTATCTGATGTCTTCTCTCTCTCTCTCATTATGCTCACTCTATTTTTTTTTAATACCTTTCCTGGTAATTTATATGTATGTCTATTTTTCTTTTGTCCATTTGAGTTTATTTATCCATCTTGATGCTTTTTGTCTGTTATCGTCTGAATCTAGTTACCTGCTCGCAATGGCATATCGACTTCTCATCTACTAATACTGTTCTCTTACCTACCTACATATCACAAAGTATTTTTTCTTTACACCTATGGATACATTATGAATTTATTTTCTATATTTCTGCTTAAGTAACCAGGTATCCTTATAGAAAAAAAAAGAGACATTTGCACATACTAGCCTAGGAATATATTTACTATCTTGTTTTAGCTAAACTATATTTATACTTAAATGTTACTTCACTGTCATTTCACACACAAAGAAGGGAGGCTGAAAAATTTTTGGTCTGATCCATTTCCCAAAAATTAAACAAATATCAAATGATTTTTTGTGGTGTGGGGTGTGGAGGTGGGTATGTATCTGAAAGCTTCAGCTTTCTCTCCCTCCCACCAACAATATGATGTTCTAAGGTTTGGTAATTTTGCCCTATTTTGAAGTAGGTGATGCCTAGAACATTTATCTTCATGTATGATATATATATATATATATATATATATATATATATATATATATATATATGTGTGTACAAAGGAGTTTGAATTTTTTTTTGTTTTTCATAATGAAATTTACAAAATGGAAATATTAAAATCTTGAAATACTTTTAGCTAAAATGATATTAACTTAAAAAATAAAACTCTTGTCAATTATTGGCCACCTTGTAATTTGGCCCAGAGCCACAAGTGTGAAACACTTAGTGCAGATTAAATTCACTTCAGCATTCCATTAGTCTGTAAGGTTTGCTTCCTTTCATTTCACGGCAAGATGCTCTATCTACCGACATGTTAACATGCACAAAAGTATATAACTTATTTGTTTAGAATAAAACATTTGGAATTTGTTCGTGTCTCAAACTGCTTGGTGATTGAGATAAATGCATGTTTATCTTTAGTGCTAATACTTGGTCTAAATCCATGTAAAAGCTAATTAGATACTGATTTTCAATGTAGGCAGCTTTCTTGGAGCATTAGCACTATACAATCTTTTTTTTCCATTACAGTCTTACATGGATGTATATCTAAAATTTGATATCCACATTGTGTAAATCTTGTCACTGATTTATTGAAATATCTAATTTCTTCAATTAGTAAGTATTTTTTTTTGACTTCCATATCAATTATTTCTATATTTATATAAGTCCTTCATTTTTTTTTTTTTTTTTAGATATCAAATTTCTTGCCTAATACCCTTTGTATCGTTCTACTAGCTTATCCTCTACTCTCTCTCTCTCTCTCTCTCTCTATTATAGCCTTAAGTCTGGATTACCTATGTTTGTTAAAAATCTATCAATCAATTTCTTCTCTGTTACTTATGCATTCATCTCTTCACCTATTTCTCAGGGTAGGTTTTCCACATTGTTCTTAATTTAGCATTTGATTTTCTTTACTTGTGTGTGATCTTGATTTGCAACTTTTTGATTTTGCACTCCTTTGAGCGGGACCACAATTCTGGATTTGACCCAACTGACATCTTTAAAAAAATTGTTTCAATTGTTTTCATCTACTTCTCTTTGTTCCTATCTCTGACTCAATGTTTGTATCTATCTCCCTCTATTTTTCCATGTTTTCATATCTTAGTCTATCTGTATCTCCCTCTCTTTGTTCATAACTTAGTCTTTCTATCTTCATAGATTAATCTGTCAGCATCTATCTCTCTTTGTTCTCATATATCTTCATAGCTCAGTTCATCTCAGTCTATCAGCGTCTCTCAGTTCATATCTCCTTAGCTCATTCCATGTTGTATTTATATCTAGCTACCTCTCTGTCCATATCTGTTGACCTCACAATGCATGTTTGTCACCTCATACCAAACAGATATGTGTATAAAAATGTCAAAAGGTGCTAGTAAGGTTGCTAGTAGTTGGCAGGCAGGCAGAAGGAAGGAATGAAGGAAATGTTTTTGCACCAAGAACAAAGCTAGCCATGTGTAACAAATCCTTTTGTCTTTTCCTTCCATCTTTCTTTCCGTTCTTTTCTTCCAAGGTAATGACTTGGTGATAACAATGCTGACTCTGAAGAGCTGGGTTTTAAGAGGAGGAAGTATAATGATGAGCAATAATATAAGTACACCCCTCTACCTCTCTCTCTCCTGACCCCACCTCCTCCAAATGCATACCATCAAGAATCAAGATCACCTCCCTGCAACCACCCACATTATCCTTACATAGACAATCAACCATCAATACCATTTCCATTGCATTTATCCTTGGGTAATGTTCTGCTTTGGTGTAACATAATCATTTGCTTCTCCCCATACCCACTGCCAAAGGTACAGTGTGTGTGTGTGGAGAGCTTTTTAGCATTGAGATTTCTTTATTCTTAATCTCTTGTCTTGACTTTTTGACTTCTTGCTTACCATTTTCTCCACCTGTCTTTTAATTGTTTTTTTTTCATTTGTTCTATCATCCATTATTTTTTCATTTTTTTTTTTTAATTATTCATTTTTTTCAATACTCCTCTCATTTCCTTTTCATTTTATTTATGTTCTTCCTTCAAAATTCCACCCCCCCTTCCACTTCACATAATCTTTTCTTTTTTTGTCTCCTTTGTTTTACATTTATTCATTAAAGATTTTCTTTTCAATATTCTATTTAACAACTTACTTTTTTTACAGTATTATTTACTTTTATTCATTCATTCCTTTTACTTTTTTGTCTCAATTTTTCATTTAGTTTTTCTATCACTTATTTCTGTTTCATTCCCATTATACTTATCTTTTTCCTTCTGAAATATAAATAAAATAAAATGAATAAAAATGGATATAAAATGTATAATGAAGATTTTACATTTTATATCAGTTTTTATTCATTTTATTTTATTTATATTTTCTTTTCCCTAAATTTTCTTTATTCCTTCATTCATGCCTTCCTCTTTTTTCTTTCCTATTTTCTTTTCTTTTTATTTATGTTTTGACATCTGCATTGTTTTTTCTTTTCTTTTTTACTCTTTCATTCTTTATTTCCTATTTTATATATTTCATTTTTTTCTCATTTTCCTTTTTGCCTATTCTTTTAATAATTTTTTCCTTAATTCTTTCTTTCTTTGTTACTTTTTTCTTTTTTCACTTCCTGTGGTATTTCTTTATTTGCTTGTCTCTCTCTTTCATTTTTCTTTATGTCACCAACCTTTCATTCAATCTTTTTTTTTTTAATATTTTCTCTTCTTCAATTTTCATTCTTTTCTCCTTCTTTCCCTTTGCATTCTTTTTTTTCCTTTTGGTGAGTGGGGCCCTG